AAAAACGGCACGGGGTGAGTAAAAACTTCATAAAGCAAAAATGTCGTATGTGCTGTAGAAAATTTTTTCACGTTGGTTACAATTTTTCATTTTCATTATAAAATTTCAAACGGCCCTTATGACCACAGACGGCCCTTAATCAAAAAAGTCTTTAGATAAACATTGTAGATCAAATAATGTTGCGCATCTTTTAATTGAATTTTTTTTTTGTAAAATCAATAGGTACCAAGTAATCGGCAATGGCGCACTTTCAACCCCTATAGCGCAAAACGCCAGAGGGGTGAATGTTTGATATTTTCGCTTTTATGATCACCCACCCGCCCCCTATCATCCCTGAAAAGTTCATTTGGGTAGGAATTTTTTTTTGCAATGCATGTATTTTTCGACTATTTTCCTAGACTATATACCTACACAAACTTATATTGAAGTCGAATCAACATAAGTTTTTACCAAGCTAAGTTTCGATTTCATTTGAATTTTTTTGATTCTGCTATATGCTATACTATAATTTTTTTGTTACCTTTTGACAAATATATACAGTATCAGTCAAATGACATAAATTCAATGTTTTCATAATGCGACACCTGTTAATGGAAGAGAAAAAAATGTATTTCCGAAAAATGTCTCGTGCATGAGAAGTTATCAAATTAAATTTGACCGACTGGAAGCGATGTACAGGGCCTAGTCATCATAAAAGTGTGTTATTTTTATTGGAATATATTGGCAGTAGCAGACTCCGTAGGTACGTGACTCTTTTATTTAGATGTTCGGAATGACTTCGTATACAACTATAGATCCATAAGTTGTGCACAGTTTGGCAGAGAAAAAGTTCTGCCAAAGTGCGTTTTTCCTCGAATACCGATCGTCGCTGGTCTAGATATTATGATCCACTGGTTGCGAGCATTGACCAACTTGGATGCGACCAGGAGAAGCCGCTCGAGGCGAACAGCTCTAAAAAAGGGAATTGTGTTATAAATCAGACGGGGTGATAGGTTGTGAAATTTACGTTGTACTCAATTTGAGGAAACTTTTTACAATCTGATAATACCGCATTTTTGAACGTCCTTGGATCACAATCTGGCAACACCGTATATGTGTCCCCAGGATAGCCTCCCAGATGCGAAGTCTCATCCCGCTTGGGCCCAAAACTCTGTTCTTTTGATCGACCCCGATGGCTAGAGTTTTTGAAAATTCGATTTAGAATGAATGGAATAATCTAGGCAATTAAAATTTCTCACTAAACAATAACTAATTACATAAAATCACTAGTTTCAAGCAAATAGGCATGTATATTCTAATCACTTTCGTATTTACTAAATAGGCGGTAATAACCGACAAAAAATTACGTAGCAGCATTGCTTTTCAACAAGACAACATGTTTTGACACTGATCACTTTTCAAAACTTTGTCGCTAGTTTTTTTCCTTCCTAGAAAAAAGATAATATCAACACGAATATCCTCATCTCCAAAACTCCATCACAAAGATAAATGCCATGATACACGATCTGGATATATTCCAACCGATACATCTTATTATTTATTTTATCGATTTTATTTTTTTCAGCTATCCAAAAGTAGGTGCTATTTTTAACATGCTATCCATAACGCGAGAGGGGTTTCGAAACTTCTAGATCATCAATCTGGTGAATGAAGGAGATCCGTTATCTAGAATCATAATATGTTCTGATCAATTAAATGTGGCAACGGTGTATGCGCACCCCACGATGAATATTTGAATTGTTACCGCGAAGAAATTGTTGGTTAGGATTTTTGTTTACTTTTGCCGGAGAAGTGCAAAGTGCAAGGTTGTTTAATAACCACCTGATGAATGAACAAAATTCTTAGAAAAATTTTTTAGAAAAAAAAACTCACCTAATGTTGAAAAGTAAACAGAAATCCTAACCAACAATTTATTCGCGGTAACAATTCAAATATTCATCTGGCACGTGTGCGCATGCAGCGTTGCCACATTCAATTGATCAGGTAGCGCTACTAGCGGTAGACACCGTCAACTCCAATTCAATGTACACTGTGTCCGTAAAGTAACGCATAAATTCATTTAAAATTTAGGCATATTTTTTTTTGGAAAACGCTCGGACACGTCAGTCTTAATTTTTAGTGGCGCTGTTTTTAAACTAATTTGTATTTATACAAGGTGACCCAAAAAAGAGATATCACGTGACACTTCAAATTTTTAAATGGAATGCCCTATATATTTTGATGAATATCGATAGAGTGCATGGAGATGAATTCTCGCTCTATCGATATTCGATATTCATCAAAATATACAGGGCATTTTATTTAAATAAATTAAAGTGTCATGTGATATCTCTTTTTTGGGTCACCTTGCAAATTAGCTTAAAAACATCGTCACTAAAAATTAAGATCGACGTGTCCGAGCGTTTTTCCAAAAAAAAAAAAAATATGAGATATAATGAGAATTTTAAATGAATTTATTCGTTACTTCACGGACATACTGTATATATAATATATGAGTAAGGTCCGGTTTATTCACCTTCTGATAAAATGTCAGGTATGCAATCTGATGGATAAAAACGCAATCTGTAATCCCATTGGTCGGCCAGTTATCCGCCGATCAATAGAATTAAAGAACGGTAAATTTATCTTGCAGATTGTTACCAGCCAATTTATCTGAAGATGAATAAACCGGGCCTGAGACAAAAAAAAATTAATTTTATACATATAGGGGTAGGCATAAGTCACCTGGCAGCCTTCAAAACAATGCATGCGTAAGTCCCACTGCTTTCGCTTGGATTTCACGTAAGTAAGCTAGAAACGCGTCCGGCTGGGTGCAAATTTGCCAGCTGACTTAAGCCCAGCCGGAAGTAGACGTCAACTTGCTTATTTCAGATGAGACACCCTGTATTATGTGATTGCATATTTGGATTCTATACGTAAGATTCTAAGCAGATTTCATACCCTATACCTAAGTTGAACTGTTTTGGAAATATTGACAGTTGAAAATTGACTTTTTTGCAACTTTGACAGGCTGTAAAACCTAAAGGGTTAATTTTAGAGGAAAATTGATCTTACATTCTTATCTTAGATTTCCATAAACTCATCATCATTTGATACCAACTTTGAATTTAACCGGAGATTAAATTTAACCGGATAATTAAATCATGGATGTTGGAGATATTCGTGTAAGTTCATTTTCTAATGGGTAATTTGCTTTCGTCAATGTCTATATATACTTTTGATTCTGATTCTAGGTATTCCCAAAAAAAAAAATTACACGACCAGTGGGGCTGTGGCGAAGCTCAATAATTTTTTTTTTCCGTAGAAGATAAAGATCATTAGTTGACTTTTTGAGAAAAATAAACGCTTTGCCGTCATATTCTGGTATAATAATCATGAAAAGTCGAATTTTGCACTTTTTTAAATCCATTACCTACTCATACATTAAGTAAAGTTTACAACAAAATTTTTTCATTAACTTCATTTGTTTGGATGGGGTTCATCTCCATTTCTGTCAATATCGGTGGAAGATGGTTGTGGATCACTTGTATAGGTTATATATAATGTTTCCAATTATATTTAGTAGAAATAACTCAATTGCTCTATAGATTGCATTACCAATTTTCTTTTGAGCAACCGATGATCCTTATTATTCCAATATGTGAGAACCAAATCCTCCTTTCAAACTTCACCTCTGCTGCGATCGTGGGTAGTTATTACTTGAGGCATTTTTCGGAATATGAGAACTTACGTCTCAGATGTAATACCAAAAATAATAATTGATTTTATTTGTCTCTCTGGATTTTTGGGTTTAGGTTCCAATTGGTAATTTCTAACTTTAGATAGGTACTTTTCATGTTTTTTTCGCGAAAAACTGCATGGATTTTGCAGTGCTGCATTCATCACACAAGTCTATTTTTTTTTTTTTTTGGTTAGGTAAATTTTACTTTTTCATCAAAACTTTGACTTGGCTATTGCTACATACATAGGTATATAATTTTTGCTGAATTGACAAGTGCTCTCATACTTTGGGGTAGGGTTGAGATTTTTCTGATGTAAACCAATATGACGCTGGGGTACACCATAAGCTACGATTATTGTCACTTAAGACTGATTTTCGAGAAGGAACCGTGCAAAAGACTTTCAAAGAGCGCAAGGTAGGTAAATCTAATACTTCATAATTAATTTGAGCTGTCATAGTTAGTTTTAGGCTTATATCAAATCAAATTGAAATTAAGAAGAAAATACGTTAAAAATATGGCATTATTCGTATCAATAATTTTGAATATAATCCTCACCTCAGCCTAGATATTGTCATTTAGGTTGTCAAAAATATTTTAAAAAATGTCATAAAATGCTGAAAATCTGAATTTATTCCAGTTAAACTCGTCTCGCTGTACATGCACTTATTTCGATTTCACTTCTCCGCAGTTTTATTTTGGTTGCAGCAGAAATGCATCCGTGCAGCATTTTAAAAATATCTGATATGGTGAAACGGCCTACCTCCTCAAACTAAACATATGTATTGCAGTGGAAAGGAAAAATGAATTTAATGGTTGTTCATGCTGTATAATACAAGGTTACAAGTAAAATGGCTTTTACTCTCATGGCTTTAATGTGGGTGATAGACATTTTAAAAATAGATGCTTTACCGCCAGCTTGAGCTTGGTATTTTCGATCTTGGCTTAGCAAAATAAATATATATTATATATATATATATATAATATTAGGAATATTGTATATATATGTATATATATTTCAAATTTCAGTTTACTGCTGATTTTTGATTTATCTTTTATTTTCGGTTATCAAACATTCTACCAGATTGAATTTTTTTTGTTTATTTTATATTAATATAAATATTTTCTAACTAAAAGCTTATGGAACTAAAGGCAAGACAATAATTTCATAGATAGAACCCTTAAGATTCAACATTATTCTCATTTAAACCCTTCGACCATGAACCAAAGAAATAGTTCAGTTAGCATTGGTAGTTTTTGTGTAATAAAAATTAGACTTACATTCAAAAGTTGTTGGTCTTTAAATTCAAGTTGCTCAGAGCTACCCCTAAGAAGTTGTTCTAGTAAATCATGAGATACTTCTGGTGTATTGGTGAATCCTTCCAACTTTGAAGGACTGGAAGTGGTCCTTTGATGACTAGGCACTAAAGTTTGTTTAGAAACTTGTTCTACTACTAAACTATCTGCGCTAACTTTTCTTTTAGCTATAGGTGCTTTAGCCTCTTTAAGAAAAGTTTCGTCTATCGAACTATTACAAGAACCACGAGGACGAGTATATTTTGATTTGCTTGTATTGGAAGATAAATCTTCCAGAAATTTTAAGTCGCTATTGAGATTTTTCCTCGATTCGGGCTTTTTCATCTCTGCTTCCAACATCTGGCCGTATGGGCCTCTTAGTGGCCTTTTCGAATACCTCCTGGGAATACTAGGACAAAAGGTGTCGTTGCTTATACTTGATCGACTATCGCAATCTGATACGTCTGAGGGCACAAGAGAAATTTGATCAAGTTTGCGTTCTAAACTCTCAGGTTCCCCTTCAGATAAAGAATCTGATCGTAGTAAAATATTGCTACGAGTTACTTTCAGAGAATCTGGACTTTTAATTTTGTTGCTATTGTTATTATTATTTGCAGATGGTAAAACATTCCATTCCAAAAATAAACTACTGCTGTCGTCCAAGCTAATCGGTTCTTCTTGGAGACTGTTTCCCGTTACACTGGATTGTTCATTTTTTACTGTGTCTGAGGAAATATCTGATTTACCTTTTGCAGTATTATCACAACTACAAAAGTCATCATACTCAGGAAGGATATTTCCTACATCATCGTTCGGGTAATAGTCCGTAGGCCACTGTGATAAATAAATCCCTTTTCTTCGTCTTGATTTATCCCTCCTTCTATCTTGATTACTACCACTTGCGGTATCTTGTGGTCGTACTACGGTTTTCTCTGGAGCTTCTGAAGTAATTTGTACTTCTGGTATATCTTGTGGAGGCTCAGGTGACAACCAATGTTCTGATTGTTGTGACGGTTCCACTAACGGTGCGGTAGACGTAAACGCGTCCTGTTTATTAGTTCGTGGACAATTTTTAGGACGAGGTAAAGTATTGTTAGAGATATCGGAAGCCTCTTGGTTATTATGGCTGCGTCGCACGTATTTATTATCGTCGGAGCAGTAGTCAACTTGTGAAAAAGACGCACTACGCGATGGTAAAGCTGCAATTTTTTGCGATAAAACCACTGATTCAGGTGGAGGCGGCGTGGTTCTTGTATGCCGTCTCGGGGGAGGTACAGGTGCAGAAGCACCGCTACGCTTGAGTCGTTCGGTCAATTCGCGAAACTTATCGCTTCCTCGTTTTTCCGCGCGATTTCCGCCGAAGCGGAATCTGGGCAGTCGGTCCAGGGTTGCGATCTCGTCTTTGGGGTCGACGTCGACGAGTCGCGAATACACAAGGGCGCACCGATTCTTCAATAAACACCCGCCCGGGTACGGAACATGGTCTCGTACTGTCTGCGTCTGTTCTGACGTCGCGGCGTCCTCCGTTCTGTTTGCGCAACTAATTATATCCAAACTATTAATAGGCACAGGAGCGACGGGAAGCAAGGGGATTCTCGCTGTTGAATCGTGAGGGGCGGCCGGCCAGCAGCATGTCCTGGATAAGTACCGTGGACCAGCGCCAGGGGGCGGTGGACTCACCGCCCCCACGCGCATTCCATACCGCACAGGTCCTATTGTCATGAATCTGAAATTAAAAATATAGCCATCAAAACCCCAAAATGTTCAAATATAGGTAAAATGGGAAAAAAAAAGGTTTAAAATATTCTTGGAATATAAAAAGTTTGGTTAGGGTAAATCCTACATTTACCAAACATACCCTAGTTTCTCGCCGGTATTATGTTTTTGCAGTATTTTAAACGAATGTTTTGAATTTTATTAAGAACTGTTAATGAATCGTTTTATCAATAACCAAAAAGAATTTTATAATTTTAAATTAATTTCTTAAAAAACCGATATACCTATTTCCGTTTTTACTGAAATCACTTTCGTGTCATTTTATGAAATACTAGGTAGGTAGGTACTACAGCGCACGGAAAAAGTACTACTAAGAAGTGTAATTGAATAATTTAATAAAATTGATACTCATTTCATTATACCTACTTTCAAAAAGCTTGATTATTGATTAAAACAAAAATGTTCATTAAAAAAAGTACTTAAGCCTAATATTAGGTATTGCAAAAACTTCAAGTTGTCAGTTTCAAACTCCGCCAATGGTGAACCGAAATCTAAAATTCATCATTTTAATGCATTTATTCAAATTCCCATATTTGATTCAACATTGAACATTAAATTATAATGTCCGATAACCTTATAAGCGCAATTCGTTAATTGGGCTTTAATACATGTCAATAACTTGTCATTCAGGTCCAACGATATTTTATAATGCATGCCACATTTATCCAATGACACTTGGTAATTCGAGAAGTCGCAAATGGTAAATGGATTATGTCTGAACTGATTTTAGTGTAGAATGACATCTGAAATTTTACTTTATACACTAATCTAATCTAATACCATAACTAGAATAGCTATTTTAAAGTAACTTGAAAAGGATTTTTATCCGATGGTCATTATTCCAATTATATCCAAACCAACTTGTAAAAAAATGTCAGTTTACATCTTTTATAAATTCACTGTTTGTTGAGCACAAAGGGTGAATTGTATTTTCTGCTTCAATACCTATTGATTTTGACAACGAAATCAGATTTCACACATTAGATATTTGGCAGTACAGCTCAAAATTATGTCTGAAGATATTTAGTACTCGCTAATCAATTCGAGGGTGATGCGTTAAATTATAAGAAATTTCTTGATGACTCAATCAATTTTTTTTTACGGAGCACTTATATCTGGATATATGTATTTGGCTGCGTTGACTAAAATTAATTTCTTGAAGAAATGAATTAAGCCTTCATTTCCTCAATTTTGTGGTACAAGTTCCGTATATTCCAAATGCTTTTGCTGAGAAGTATAGTCTATATGAAGATTTTGGAGATAGTACCTACAATAAAAGAATTATCCCAACAAAGCTGATAACAAGATGGACGTTATTATGAAAGACTCCTTCTTTTAACACACCAAAATATGATAATACACAAAAACACTCATCTACCTTAAGACCCTAAAAGATGGCACCTAAAATCTGGTTCAAAAATACATTATTTAAGATATTATTTAACAAAAAATCACAGGATGACTCGACTATAGGTTATACTTATACTTTACAGGTTCAATTTATACAGGTTGTCCCCATAAGTCACGGTCCAAACTGAAAGGGGTGATAGAGAAGGTCATTGCCGTCAAAAAAATGTTACTATACAATTCTTCACGGTTTTCAAGATATTCGAATTTTATTGATTTTAACAAACATGGTTGCATTGGTTGAAACCAACGAACCCATAATTTTTTTTTTCTAATTATGAGCAGGAATGTCTGTCTTTAAGTTTTTATAAGTATGTGAAGTTTTGTCTTTTTACTAAAGAACTTAAAGAGAGTTTTTCTCTCTTACTTTTGTTTCATTCAATTGACAGCAAAAGTTCAAATAATAATAATTTAGAAAGCACAGATGAAAAAAGGTGACCCATATGTGTTACAACCACATATATATATATTTTCCTTTTTTTAATGTTCTTATATAGAAGTTGACATATATTGTTTCAGTTTTTGTTTAAATAGAGTTTTATTGCGGATTAACTTGAGGCAAGTGGTTATACAATTTTACTCCGTTATAAAATATTGACTTTTGGCCAGTATTCGATTTAATTTGTTTGTTAGATAAATAAATGCTTTGAATTGGATAGATACTCGGAGTTCGGAATTATTTACTTATTTTCTATCAAAATCTATTCAACGTAGTCATAAATGTGTTGAACAACCTAAATTAGAGCTAATAGTCAATACAGGATCCATTCGGGGAAGCACCTATTTTGTTTGGTTAAAATTTGCCTTGAACTACAGGGAATGGTCTAAATTTCCACGAAGTTTGTTTCCCTGCGTCCCTTTCTATTGAAATATCAACAGAAGTTGTCTTTAATGGGTGTAGAACTGCATCAGTAATATTTTTCATATTTTTCTACTCCTAATCAATCAAAATCTATCCAATTTCCAAAATCTGTTGAAGTTTGCGTTCAACAATTAAACCAATCAAATTGGAGCTGATTCAAATTCAAAAGATTTTTATTTACAGGTCCCAATTTAGTACATTGTTTTTTTTTTGTCCTAATTTAATTCTCTTTTCAACGACTGCAAAATAAATATTCTGATGCATTATAAAGCCTTAGGCTTGTTTGCCAACCAAAAATACGCCAAAAAAAAATGTATGATTAAGGGCGGGTATTATAATACTACTTTGAGAGTTAACTTAAAGTTAACTTTTGGAATTACATGTGATTCAAAAAGTTAACTTCAAGCTAACTGTCAAAGCAGTTTTATAATACCCGCCCTAAGATTCAACTACTTAAGTTTGCTAAACAATTTTTAACAAATGCTACGAATGCTGGTGGCTATAACAATCCATGTCAAAAACGAGGATTTTCACCACCAGCACGAATGCCATTTGTAAAAAATTGCGTTGCAACGAGTTTTTTCTCTAATTTATTTTAAAGGAAAAATTAATCACGAATGGTATTTCTAGACTAATGTGTGAGATCTGATTTCAGTACTTTCATGATCTATCCATAAAAAAAATTGTGTAGGTATATGTTGTATAAATATTATTTAAAAATGAGAAATCTCCGATTACGTATTCCTTTTCATTAAACTATGAATTTTAGTTCAAACAGTTATTCCAAAACACCAAAGTTTAAAATTGCTTTTGTTTCTACTTCAGAGAATACTCGCCAGCCCAAAGTAATTTAGACTATATTTTTTTTCATCTAACTTATTTATGCTCGCTATGGTATCTGCTGCAAGAGTTTTTGCGACACGTTTTGTAGAAATAATTGAAAGGTTCCATTATGTGTTTTGTAATACCATCTTTTTAATAATGTATATCTATGTATCTTGGTAAAGTTTATTATTGATTTCATCCATGGTTTGTTTTGGAAAACTCATTCTTAAAACAAGAATAACATGTAATAGAGAAATGAAGAATGTAAATAATACCTTGAACAAATTGAGAATACACAACACCACACACAGAATTTTCTTTTAGACTTGCTCCATGTACCTATGAAGCCCCTTCTATAGGAAAGTCCTCACAAAAAGCTCTTCCTACTTATGTAAAGTACCTATGTACCTACCTATATCTCAAAGTTGGAGCAGGAAGTCTATTTTCAACGTTTTTTCCCAAGGCCAACGAAATTACGTCACCTTCAGGGACATGTGCATGTGTTTTTCTTTTGTTAAATAGAGTAACGGTCTTGCCCTTGAAACTTCGCAAAACTATAGCTGATCTAAGCTTTCAATAATGATGTGAATACGAATCTATACCATCCACCTGCTCAACAAAAGAGACGCCTTTCTTTGTTGAAATTTTTCTTTGTTAAATAGAGCTTTGTTGGAATTTTTCCTTGTTGCCATGTGTGCGGAACATATTTCGAGGTCAGCAGAGCACCTGGTTTGTCTACAAAAGAAACGAATTATCTGTTGAATAGAGTAACACCTGGATTTGGAGGGTAAGGCCAAATGACGTCACCCTCAAGGTCAAGTGCGCGGGCGCATCTGACGATCTGCATATGAAAACTTAAAGAAAGTATACTTCCACTAGTGCCGGAGTCTGATTGTTGGGTGTTATCCACGTAGTAAAATGACAAATACTGCAAGGAAATACATCAAATTTTGCCCGCGTACCAGTTGATGAAAATGTCAGAAGTGTACACAAAGAATATCTTTTAAAAACTAATAAGAGTTTATCGGAAAACGCCACTCAGTTTGCGATGGATGGTCCCCAATTCGTGCAGAAAAAATATACTTTAGTACTATCATGACGCTGCAGGACATTTTGCTGGGGATAAAACACTAGAGGCAGTGGTCTAGTGGAATGCGTAACTATATTAAAAACTACACGTTAGCCGGTCTCGGTTGCATGTATAATAAAACGCCTTCAGGTAAAGTACCTGGAAGTCTATACGCAATATCAAAAAGAAAAATATACCAATGACTGGTACATTTTGAATTAAGACCATATAGAGCCATTTGTGAAAAGTGAGCACGGAAATAGCTATTTAATTGTGGCTGTTGACGCCTTCACAAAATTTACTTACTGAGCACAAAAAGACATAAACGGCACCAGTTGTTTAATTTCTGAGTGGTTTGATTGAAAATTTTGGGGTATCTACCTCGAAGGTTTATTCGTGATAGGGGCACAGCGTTTACAAGCCGATCTTTTTCCTGATTCTGATTAGCAACGGGAACTCCATGAACCAACGGGCAGGTGGAGCGAAAGAAAAGAGTTATTCTTTCAGCTCTAATGGCCAGTGTGGATGACGATCAAAACTGGGACCGTGAACTTGGCAAATTGAAGTGGGGCATTAACTCGACCGTGAGTTCGAGGACCGGAACATTGCCACATGAAGGGTTCTTCGGATACCGACCACGAGTAGTTAATGACGCGTTTTTGACAGCGGAGATTGCCGAAAATCAGCCAGCTAACCATGCAGTAATACGTACCGAAGTGGCTGAGCGTATAAAAGAAAAGCAGTTGACTCAAAAAAGAATTACGATAAAAGGCATGCCAAAAAGAAA